CACCACCCCAATGGACCCACCACCCCAATGACTCCACCACCCCAATGACTCCACCACCCCAATGGACCCACCACCCCAATAGACCCACCACCCCAGTAGACTCACCTCCACAATGGACCCGCCATCCCAGTAGACTCACCTCCACAATGGACCCACCATCCCAATGGACCCACCACCCCAGTGGACCCACAACTCCAAGGGCACCACCCAAATCTGGGTTATGGGGTGAGCAGGGGGAACTCACTTGCGGTTGCGGACCTCAGTGAGCTCCATCAGCCGCTCTTGGGCTGCTCGCAGTTCATCGAGGCGCTGCTGGTAGCGTGAGTCGCAGTTGTTGGTGCGCTCATAGCTGGAGACCTGGCTGGAGAGCTCGCTGGCACGGTCCCGCAGCTGCTGGATGGATGAGTAGAGGTTCTCCTCGTCTTCCTCCTGCTCCAACACAAAGGGATGAGGCTCATGGAGTGGATGGGGATTGATCCACTGGGGAAATGAGGAATGGGTGTTTCCAACTTGTCCGTGATGCTTACCTTGGCATTGATGATCTCAATGTGGATGAGGAGTGCGGCCAGCTCCAGGTCCTCTGTGTAGCTGTTCTTCAGTGGCACCGACCGGTAGCCTGGACACAACACTGGGACATGAGCTCAGCCCCACAGCAGAGTCCCAGTCCCTCACCATGGTCATAGTTGAGTCCCCAAATGGCTGATGATGATGATGGTGTTAAAGAAACATGTACATGTGGTAGTTAGGGGCACGTTTTAGTGGATGTTCTATGTTGGTGGTAGTGAACTCATGATTCTATGAGTGGGCACAGTAAGGATGGGTTGATGGTTGGACTTGGTGATCTTGGAGATCTTTTCCAACCTTTATGAGTCTATGATTCTATGATAATGATGAGGGTGTGGATGGAGGAAGCATACCTGTTTTGAGACCCTTAATGGGGAAGGTGGCTTGGGCCAAGAAATTGGGGTCACTGAACATGTCCTCCTCGTACACCACAAAGCGGAGGAAGGCGAACTCAGGGTTATTGATATCGAAGACAAACTGCTTGAAGAGCCACACAGGGTTGAAACCATTGTCAGCTGTGGGGTGAGGTCAGAGCAGGGTTAGACACATAGATAGCACCAACACAGCACCACTGCTCCCCTGTTAATGGGGGATGCCTTTCCCCTTTACTCCTCCTTGAAACCAGTCCCCATCACCCACATTTGAGCAGTCACAGACATGGGTTGGACTAGATGATCTTAGTGGTATTTTCAACCTTATTCTACAATTCTATTTCCAGTAGACTTCCAGTAGAACCCCAGAAGGTGTCTCAGTGACACCACCTGTCCTCTTGGCATAGGAACTAGGTGGGAGGACCCTTACCTACAACATCAGTCTTGTTCTTGCTGTTGTCATACTCGGAGCCACACACCTCTACCTCCACAAAGGGGCACACAATGCTTCTTCCATTTTTGGGAAGGTGCCGAGCACCAAGAATCTGTGGAAGGTAGAGGAGAAAGAGGAGAGTGAGGTCCAGCCATGCTGGACCAACAAAGGACTTCTTTGGACAGACCTATGGCTTGGTTGGTTTGAGTCTGCCAAAATCTTCATGACCACAATTAGCCACATCAGACCTTATTTGTGACCTTGGACTCATTTTAGCTGTTTCTGCAGAATGATTTGAAAAACTTTTGCTATGTCCATGCCATACTGAAGAGCTGGTTGCCTACATACTGACTCATCCCGGCTGTAACACCAAAATGACCCAAACTTTGGGTCAACTTTATGCAATTGTGGGATTTTCCCCTCAACGTTTTGGAGTTCTTCCACAATCTGGAAAAATTATGCAAGAAAGCAACAGACTCAGCAGATCATGGAGCAATGAACTTCATGGAGCAAATATGGGTCTTAAACATGTAGAAATTGACCCCAAACTTTGTTTGGAAGAACTGAACCGTCATCTCGACACTGGCCAGCTTGGAATGGACTTGCCAACCTTGCCCACTTGCCTGCAGCTGCACTGTGATGGGCTCCACAATCTTCAGGCTGTTCTTGTCGAAGGGGTCAAACGTCTCATCCCTCATGATGTCAGGTTGTAGGACATAGCCACTGCGACCACCGAGCATGAAGAGTGCCTGGTTCAGCTGCATCGGCTTGTCTATGGCCAGGGGAAAAGCAGGGTTCAGGGACCCTCCAGTTGCCCTGAGCAGAAGGTTCTGCCCTCACAAACCCCCTACTAAATCTCCCAACCCTGGGTAGAAGTGCATGAAACAACCCCAACGTTGCATGAGAATATCCCCATCGAGATGGGGACAATGGTTGGACAGCTCATCTAAACCACGTCCAGCCACGGGATCAGTGACAAAGCCACCCTGGGCATGGGATTTACCAGGCGTCTGGAAGTTGAGGGCCACCAGCTGGCTGCCGCAGATCCACATAGGCAGTGGGTCGTAGTTGGAGGAGTCCAGGCGCTGCCCTTTGGGGTAGATGCGGCTGAGCTGGCGCCGGTTGTACTGCAGGAACTTCTTGCCCTTGCTGCGGTTGGCGTACTTCTCCGCTTTGGTCTCCGGGAAGGAGGACATATCCCGGTAGCATGCTTTGTCTGTGCCGATCTCTGAAAGCACAAAGGTGAGCATCAGTGGAAGACGCGGGGTTCCGTGGGAGCAATCCCTCAGACCCCTTTCTTCCCCTCCTCATCCCATCTCTACCCTTTTCCAGCTCTTACTGTCTTCATCAAACGGCACGGGGCGGCAATACACAACCAGCTCGGAGAGCTCCAGAGCGATCTTCTTCCTCCGCTCCATAATCTTCCCCTCTTGCATCTGCACAAGGAAAAATGGAATCTGAGACTCTTCCATCGATGGGGATGCTCTGTAAACTACAGTCCAATCGCTGTGGGATCCACCAACATCCACTGAAATGGACCGACTGTCCATTAGTGTCCATCCACCATGGGATGAGACATCCACCAAAATCCATTGATGGGGATGATCCCTCAACCACAGTTCATCTACCATGGGATGAAGCATTCATCACCATCCACTGCTGGGGACGATCTGTCCACTGCTGATCATGAAATGGGACATTAATCACCACCCACTCCATTCCATCTCCTGGAGATGAGGATGTCCACCACCACCTGCTGTACCCCAGTGCCCCTCACCCTGGCATCGGCGTTCTGCGTGGCCTCCCTGAT